GTTCAAATCCATGTCCAGGAATCGTTGAAGCAGTTCGATCCAACCAATCCAAACAGGTCATCGTCCTTACTACCATAACTTTTCGTAAGACGAGCATTAAGCGGCTAAATGCCAATCGGTGAATGAATACAGCGCAAACAGCGTGATAGCAGCAGAAGAGGAAAACCAAAGTGGCGGGACCAGCCAAGCCAACCTAAGAATGCAGAAGAAACAAGCCAGATTAAAATCGCTCAAGTTCCTGGAAGCGCTCGACGGGGTCAGCAAAAGACCGCGTCAAGCCAACTGATGCCCAAAAGTCGTCGCTGACATCTTCCCTGCGCGCGAGGCGCTCCAGCAAGGACCGCGCATCACGGAGCTCTTGATCTAGTGGTGGCGGTTGCGGCGACTCAGCGGGTATGAGCGGAGGCATACCCTCGTAGTCGTTAGCGCTCACGGGTTCCTCTGCTGGTCCGTCGAGCTGGGGAATCTGCGGTCTCGACGGCGCTTCCGTGTCGGCGTCCCGCCAGATGCCAGAGTTGTAGAAGCTGTGAACGACCTCGCTGGCGTCGCGGGATCGGTCGATTACGCGGAGTCCGTAGCGTTCTGTATCGCGCGCAGGAGGTTCGCTGGAGAAGTACGATGGGCGCATTCTTCGACGGGGAGCGGTCGAGTCTGAAATGTTCAAGCGATTCCTGCGGGCCTCTGTGCCGGTACGACGGCGTATGCTGCCGCGTACGTCCATCTCTTCTTCTTCGGTATCGGAGGCTGAGTCGTCCTCGGAGGTATCGCATGCCCGCATGAACTGCTCATTTTGTGGGGGTGAAGGCCGTCGTGATGGCACTGTAAGGTGAGTTTGCGAAGATGCCGCCGAGTTGGCACTTCCTGCTCGTGAGCTGGGATGCGAATTTGTGAATGAGGCTGCCGCTGCGGCTGATGCGAATGATGACCCCGCACTTGGTGCGACAGGATCGTCCACGACGGTGGTGAGGAAGCTGTCCCATTGCAACTGATCTTCAAAGGGACTGACGCTGCGATTCCGGTCGCCTAAGCCATCCAGCGCACCTGCTGGACTCCAAGACTCGCGCAAAGAGCTGGCAGGCAACGGTCCATCAGCAATGGTGCGGCGACCCATTCTACGCAGCGGGGGGAATGCCACAGCGTGGTTCTCGCCTGTTTCGTGGCTCTCCTCAGGCGCATTCGCACTATCATCTCGCGTCGATCGATCAGCACGGGGGCTCTGAGAACGCGTTGATCGTCTGGTGGCGCGACGGTAAGATCTATATTCGCGCAAGCGTGCGAAAGGGTCTTGCGCGTCACCTTGTGCTTCCGTTTCGGGCGTTCGCGACGCTGCCGCTGGCGCAAATCCCGGTGTGAAAGCGGGCAAGGGGCGGTCATGGTCGGGAGTGGCGCGCGTTCCATACGCGCGCATGTAGCTATCGAGGCGACTGCGCGACCGGCGCACGCTGCTCTCGTCGCGTTGTAGAGTAGGTGGGTGTCTCGAAGGCTCGTTGCTGCGGTATTCGGTCCTCGACACTTCGGGGACGGGTGGCGGTGCCAGACGCGCGCGATGCGACGAGCGAGGTATCCATTCAATATGCGGACCGGAGACGAGGAAATCCGTGTCGAGGGCGCTGCGAGGGCGCGGTGATCTGTTGGGTCTGACGCGGCGGCGGATGGGGGAGCGTGAGCCGGCAATGTCAGCCCTCAGTGCGTCTTTCCTCGCGTCTTCTTCGCGATTTATGTTCCATCCGATCGGGATACCCATTGCGCCGAATGTGTGATCTGCTTTGTTTCGGAAAAGATGGGTGAGGTGCGGTGTTGATGGTGACGCGCCGGATGATGCTAATGGGATGGGTCGGAGAAGGAACTAGGGCGGCAGAGCGGCGCACGTCGCAGCCGCCTAAACCAGGACAGTGAGGCTGAAGGGTCCGGGGGAGGCGCAGAACTCCAAATGGGATGACAGCGCTGGCACTTGTCTGCCCAACATTAATACAGCAAGCGTCTTTAGTCTGTATTATCGCCTCTAAATAGCTTGTCTCAGCTTCACTTCACAGTGTATCACAATTCGATGTTCCCACAGCAAACGACCCTTCGTCTTCGCCAGGCGCGACCGTGACCGCCAAGCCGTAGTTACCCAATGCAGCAAGGTCGCACCTGTCCGCAGCTTTTGGTCCACTCGCTCCAATGAGTCAACATAATCTGCAGGTACATCGTTTCAGAACATTCCGCGTCTGCCTGGACCCCTAGTTGCCTATGCTACTGTAAATTACTCGTCTCGTGGTCATGATCCAGCCTGGCTTGGAACGGATCAGTCTGCTTCTGAAAAATGTCCAGTTTCCGTGGAAATCGATACATGTCGCTGGCACCAACGGCAAAGGATCCATTTGCCACTATGCGTCGAGACTTCTTTCCAAGCGACTCACGATTGGCAAATTCACATCTCCACATCTCATCGACAGGTAGGCACGCTGTCACGTGAGGTGGTTCTAATCTAACTTTTCCAGATGGGACTGTATAAGCATCAACCATAAGCCCGTGGAAGAGGCCCTCTTTCGCAAGATCGAGAAGCACTACCTGGACCTGAGTATAAGAGATGGCATCAGTGCTTCAAACTTCGAAATATTGACCGCCACTGCTTTCCACATCTTCAACGAAGCCAAGATAGATGTTGGTATCGTGGAAGTTGGCATGGGCGGAAAGCTCGACGCTACCAATATACTGAACAACCAAGCGGTTTCCGTCATCGCTAAGATAGCGCGAGACCATGAGGGCTTTTTAGGTGACACCCTAGAAGAGATCGCACTCCACAAAGCTGGCATCCTCAGGCCCGACGTACCCTACCTTATCAATCCTAAGAATGAGGGTAACGTCGTCGACGTCATTGAGGAACATGCTCGCAGCATCGGGGCAGGACCTCGTTTGGAATACGATCCCCCGGGCTTTTCGAAGACTCTGTTTGCGAACGAAGATCGGCCGCCAAAACCGACCGATCAACGAGAAAACATTGTCCTCGCAGCGAGGGCTACCATGGCAGTAATGGAAAGTTTCGGCAAAGAGATGAAACCGTTTGTGATGCAACATAGCTTGCACGGCTCGAGGAACATTCCATACCCAGGACGACTAGAGCCGGTTCGAGTACCGCCTATCTTTGGTGTGCCAAGCGCGGATGGCACGACTGGAGTTAGTCAAAAAGGAGAGTTTATCCTGGTAGATGGAGCTCATAACGCCGATGCTGCCACACTGCTGAGTGGCCACGTCGGACGGAATTTCCGGGCGAAGAAGGTTCCTGGTGTTCAAAAGCCACGCAGGGGATGCCCTATCACATGGGTACTTGCAATGACCGATGGGAAAGATGCACATAAATTCCTGAGAAACATACTACACCGAGGAGACAATGTCGTCACTACGTCCTTTGGTCCGGTGGATGGTATGCCTTGGGTGAAACCAATGCATCCAAAACGACTCCTCGCCATAGCAAAATCAATCGAGCCCACTATCACTGGGCTAGCTGTGGAAGAAGGCGGGCCGCTCCGAGCGCTTTGTACAGCGAAGTATCTTCGAGAACCTGAAGGATCGATCGTCCTGACAGGTAGTCTGTACCTTGTGGGTGACCTTCATCGCGATTTGCGGGCGAACTATGGAAAGGACTACTGGAACAGACCGCATTTTGAGGAGACCAGGAAGAAGTTCGCAGCGATGCTAGAGGAGGAGAAGCACAGAGTCAACCGGCTGCTCGGCGGACCCATCGATCCCTTTGATCAACCTCTTGATCTCAATGTCGGAAAACGCGAAGAAAGCGACGAGTGGAAAAGGCAGCAAGCGAACCGCGAAAAGCGGAGGGCCATGCAAGAAGAGATCGCGGCTCTTGACCGAGAGATGGAGCTTCTCACAGCCGAAGAGCAGCACCTCACAAAAGGGCACACACCAGCTACAAATAATAACACCTCGGCTACAAACAAGGGATCAAATCCACCCCGCATCCACAACCCAGCGATATCTTTGTTAGAGGAAGGCGCACCCCTCCCCAGCAAATACAAGACGAAGACCCTTGAGGGCGGCGCGAAGATCAGATACCACAAAACAGTATCGTCATCTCTGGATGAGGAAAAACGGGTGGAGCCTTCTCCTCCTATACATAGGGCACCCCTCAAGGCCGACACATACAGTCCAACTACCTTGGATAATGGCGGAAGGATAAGATTCCACAAAGTAGAGTAAGTCGCTCAGCCACAAGAGCGAAAGGCGTACCGAAACTGACCAGTGAAAAGGAGCAGGAGTGGCACGCTAGTGGTCAACTTGAATCACCGTCGTGAGTAGACATTTGATCGGTGCTTGAAGATCGAGATCCTTACCTGTACGATATAATTGTGTATGGATGCCGCACCAGATTTGCAGTTTCATTATGGCGCGGTATGTGCAGGGAGACACCACTTTTCAAAAGTCGTTTCATCTTCCATGTTCTTCATATGTACATTATTACTATACTCTATCCGAGAGCTTCTGGCACATTACACAAGTAAAGTTGCTTCCATCCCTCCATTGTACGCTCTTGACTCCAAGCTCTGTCCCGAAGAGCACAAGAGTGCACGTGCAGAAGCAAGCAGCCGCTCTCCGGCGATACAGCATCTGGCGGTCACAGATCTAATCAGCTCCAAAACCCCACTTTTTACTAGTGAAACTACCGCATGCGGCATCTTTGGGAGTAAAACCGTGGATTATGGCGATCTCTTGGCACAGCGAAACGTCGCGATCAGTTCTGAGAGGGCGCTGCCCCCCGCGGCGGCGCCGGCAAGGTTAGCGGCCAGCACAGACCACCCCACACAATATTCGATTTCGACAGTCGAGCATCGTGACCCCGACAAGCCTACGCACGCCCGATTCAACTCCGCCGACAACAAGTCAATACTGTCAGTAGCCCTTTCTGCGAAGTCGCCACAGGGCTTCTCATAAAGCTACAAATTTAGCTGACTTCGAAAATAGCAAGCGACAATCCCCCGTCCACAACCCCCAAACCACACATCATGTCTCACGAGTCGGTCTGGTATTCGCGCCCTAGGACTTACGGCAAGGGCTCCCGCGAGTGGTACGTTTGAATCCAAAACCTCGATACAGTAGATGGAGGAGGGGGAAAAGGCGCCGATTATATACGCGGCTGGGGCCAGGGCGAGCGCACCGTGTTGGTCTGCGCGAGGGGAGGGATTGGATGCACCTGATGCAACGGGCCAGGATACCAGTACGCGATGGCTAACACAGTACTCACAGCCGCGTCTGCACCCACCCCGCTGGTCTGATCCGCAAGTACGGCCTCAACATCTGCCGTCAGTGCTTCCGCGAGAAGAGCTCCGACATTGGCTTCGTCAAGGTACGTCTCGCACCCATACTTGAACAATACAAAAGCACGCAAACTCACATTGCAACAGCACCGATAGATTATTTCTCTACCGTACGCTTCGAGGGCTGGAGTAGAAGGCGCATGTGACGATGATTACCTGACGATACGATACAACAATGTTACCTCGACCCGACCGCCCACATGATCAAGCAAGACGACGGATATGGGTCTGAGATAAAAGGAAAAGCAAGCTGAGAGAGTGGGCTTTGTAGTCGGGTGGGGATGGTTCTGCATGGCGTATTTCCTCATACTGTGTTTACGGGCAATGGGGGATACCCGGCCTTGCATGCAATGAGAAATCAATCCTGAATTCACAACACGGCTCCTGTTTGCAGTGTGAAGATACGGGTTTGGGTGTACTGATGTGACAGGGGGGCTTCTTTCGAATTAAGGACCCGTGATGCAGGCTATCATCGGCAACTGGGACCTGGAGCACGTTACCCCGACACGACATCTCATCATCGACAGCTCGGTCTTCTTAGTCCCACTATACCACAGTCGTGTAGGGCGAGCGCTCATCTTCCTCGTCATCTCACAGAACTCGTTAAGCAGAACATAATACAGTATCGACAGGACAAGCAAACAGCAAATGCACATTGAAGACAAGGCAGAAGCATCCAACCTCATCCATACACAGGTATATACGTCGATCTCTTGATATCAAATGCGCGCAAACGAAACCAACAAAACAAGACGTAAGAGACATGTACAAATTACAACCTTGGCTCATGACATTCCGACAACCAACTGTTCCAAAAACAAGAGCACGAGCATCCCTCATCCACTCATCCATCCCCGCTGATTTCTCGTCCTTGGCCATTTTGGTCAAATGACAAGAAAACATTATCCTCCTCTTCTCTCAATGCCACAAAGGTACGTATTGCTTACTCCGCCTGAGGCATACTCTCCACCTCTTCACTCAAAGCCCTCCAGTTATCCGCCTGCAGCTCCGCATACTTGACACGTTCCTGTGCCCACTCTTGATGCAGTCTACTAACGTGATATTGCGACTTTTGGAAGAAGAGCAGTTCGTCGCGGATGCATTCTTGGATGAAGACGCCGCGGGCGTGTTGTTGGACGATGGATTCCTTGTCCTAGTATCACGCGTTAGAATATGATCTCATTGTATAAAGGGGATTCGGAAACTAACCTTGAAAATGGCATCCTCCACCTTCTCCGCCTCACCGGGTTTGATCTGCTCGGCGGGCTTCTGACGAATGTTGTGTAGTTTGGTTTCGTTGTTTGCAATGCGCTTTTCCAGTTGGGGGATGTTGTCGCGGGCGTACTTGTCTCGGCGGTCGAACATGTCGCGTACACTGACTAGAGTGTCTCTCTGTCTCTTCAGGTCTTCGAGAACACCTTCTTCCCATCCTCTTGCTTCGTCTTCTAGCAACTGTCTGCTGGAGTCGAGGTGTCGCGCTGTAGCGTTCATACCCTCGTTCAACAATGGAACGTCGTTTGTGTCGACGGCGTATGTTTCTTGACTTGACTCTGTGAGTCCGCTGAGAGCAGAGGAGAAGCGTGCATATTCTGCTGCCATTCCTTCGTTTCGGCGGGAGAGGCGCTCCATCATGCTGCAGAGGGTGATGTAGGTTTCTGCGCTGCGCCGGACGCCGGACCGGACGGTATCAAAGAGCTCAGGGAGGGTCTTCGGGAGGGAGTCTTCGAGATCCGGTGGTAGGGGTTTGCCGGTGAATTCTTCCTGGACGGAAAGGTTGGCCTGTTTGCGCCAAACTGCGAGTTCCTGTTCCAATTAGTACAAGCTAGACGGTCCCCAAACTGATTAAACTTACCGTAGGTACTGTCAGAAACATGACTACCAGCTGCTCCTGGTTCAGGACTGGATGCCGTACGAGCGCGTTGGTGAAGCGCGTAAGACCCTTTCTTCGCTTCTCGAGGAAAGTGGCATCTGCAGCTATTGGGTTGCCGTTGACTAAGAAATCTCAATACGTATCAAGGCCACAGCAGGATGTGTACTTACTACCGACCCTCTTTGGGGGCAACAATGGCAATTGTCGGAAGGGATACCGCTTGTGCAGACAGTCCAGCAGCCAGACGAAATCACTGTATCGACGGACAACCTTTGTGGTGCGTTTCGAGCTGGCAACTTCGTAGTTGCGGTGCTGGAACATGAACATGCCCTCTTTCTCTGAGAGCGCAGTGATGGTTATGACCTCTTCGTTCCCACTACCGCCTGGATTCAGTCGTCCAATAGATCTGCCCAACTCTGGTGTCGCATTGGACCCACCCTCTCCTCCTGCGGGTGCGCCAAAGCCTTCTTCTCCCAAGCCGGGGGCAGCGAATGGCTGGCTCGCTCCGCCATTGTATCCGCCCCAGCCACCTTCACTGCTCAAAGAACTTGGCTGGACGGGCTGCGGGATGTTGGAAGAAGCGGCGGTCGATTGTGTTGTAAACTGACTTGTCGTTCGTGCGGTTGGGGGTAAGCTCGAGCCGTTGGTGTGCGGTTGGGAGCTGGTATAGCTCGCGTGGCTGTGGCCTCTGTGCAGGTCGGGGCTGCCCCAAGGATCCGCCTCTGGGTCGCCGAAGGATTGCTTGCGCATAGGCGCACTCGACTTGTTTGCAGGAGACGGTTGCTGCGCAGACGGCTGGCGTTGCGGCGCGGGAGGAGTCGGGGGCTGGGCTTGTTGGGGAGGAGGTGATGGTTCGCGGGCCTTGGTGGACTGCGGCAGCGTCACCGTTGGGACGGGAAGATCTGGCGGGGCGTCAATGTCGTTCTTTCGCGGCACGCGCGACAATGCTAACACTCACTCCTTTTCCTCTCGTCGACGCTGTCTAGGGTGATGTCCTCATGCTCTTGCGCCAACCCAATCAGGGCGAAGACAACATTGAACTCGTTCCTGCCCAGTTCGGCGCTGCCACCAGACGGTAGTACAATCTCGAGTATCTTGGACTGCGCGTGACCGGGGATGTCGCTCTCGGCCAGCAGCTTCTTGACACCCTCCACGCTGACCCCATTGCCTTCGCGGTCGCCAGCATCTAGCAGTGCGTCGAAAGCGTCAATGTACGAGTCGGGCACGTCCGAGGCAGGCAGCAGCGACTTAACGAGAGCTTCGCGTCCGGCTTTCTTGGGCGTGGGGAAGCCCCAGGGCGAGTCGTTGGCGTCGAGGTCGTCTGCGAACAAGCTGTTGCCCGTCTTGCCCGCGGGCTTGGGATCGTCATCGAAGAGCGACGACGACGGCTTCGCGCGCTGCGGCGGGTCATCATCACCGAATAAAGACATTGTCGCCTGGAGAAGATGCGCGGCCGACTAATTATTTCCAAGCTGCACGTCGTCGATGGACAGAATGCAGGGCCACAGCTTAGACTGGAGGTGCTACACGCGATGATAACATGGAGCTATGATGCGGCGGTGCAAGGAACCGGGCTCCACTAACGCCCGTCCCATGCCCTACCAGATCGTCACAGCCTTATCAATGCCTTGGCACATCTGCTTGACATTTAACAACCGTATGAGTTACTGACAAGTGCAAATACATGATTTACTTATTCATTGATATTTTGCTGTACATGCTATGGCGCTTGATAAATCGCAGTATCCACTGCTTCACCTATCATTGCAGGCTTGCGCCATTCCACCTAAATCAAAGAGCCTGACCTTATGGCCGGCGGGTATCCATCCCTCATACAAACACCAAAGAATTTTTAAGTTCCAATTGCGCCATTCCATGCCAATGCTGTGTGGAGTCTCCACTGTCCTCGATCCATGCCACCAATGCGCCGTTCAATGTGGGGGTATATACGTGCTATCAACGTTCGAAATATAAACAGAAACATGCGAGAGAAGATGGTGCGCCAACAAGCTACCTGTCGTGATCTGTCCGAGTGTGGTTTTCGGGCCTGCTAAAGTCGATGGTGGATGTCGACTCATCTTGTGGCAACGGTGAACTCGGTGCAGATGGCGGTTGTCGCACCTCTGTCCCGAGACCACCAGTGTTGTGTTGGCGACCAAGCGGGGCTGCCGGCGAGAACCGGATACGGGGAGTGCGTGTTGAGTTTGGCGAGGCCGACAAGTTGATGACCTCGCTTGAATTAGTCCCTCCATGAGATTGATCTTGTTCGCTCGGAGTTGGCGCACTCGCTGGCTGCGTACCCGCACTGGCAGAGGACTCGTCCTGTTGAGCTTGTTGCTGTTGGCGGATGATGTCTGGAGACCAGGTTTGGCCCCGGGGTTGGGCAGGAATGATCGTGACTGGTAGAGTCGTTTCGTGCTGTGACCCAGGCTTCTTCTTCGACCTGAGCTTTTCGCCTTGCTGCGCGGCAAAGGTGCCCAGGCGATCGGCTAGAGCTAACCCGTTGTAGTTGCGAGGGGGTATGTTGGCTGCAACATCGTCCACCGCGAGTGGTTCGATGACCTGCCCCCTCTGGAGTTCCTTTGGCGGGGTTCGTCCTTTTCGTCGGAATGGGTTTCCTAGTGCTTGCCATTGAAATCTACTCCTGCTGGTAACTGGTTCCAGTTCTCCTCCCTTCTCAGGATCCTCGGGATCAGCTGGTTGAGCCTGAGGTTCCTGTGGTGAATCTTGTGTTTGTGGCTGTGTTTCACGATTTCCTGGTCGATCATCTGTCGGTGCGTGCCGTGGATTCACAGGTGTATCGCTGATGGGATGATAGCGGACTGTGTACACAGTCGAGTCAGCACTGGTGGTGTCTGTCCTACTGACCGGTGATGCGATGACTGGTACCGGAGGCGGGGTCTGCACCCGTACATAGTTCCGCGAGCTGCGGTCTCCGCGTGTAGCAGATGCCGACCGTCGCACAACTGGTGGTGGTGCAGGAATGTGAATAGTACGCTTCTTTCGTGCTTCTGCTCGTGGCGATTCGGTCATCTTGCGTCCGAACCTCTGGGCAAGATCGTTGAAGCGGCCGGCATGTGCTGATGTGAACGCGCCGAAGCCGCCAGAGCCTCCGCCAGTCTTCTTTTCATCTTTTTCTGATAGCTGGGCCTTGCGCTTTGAAGGCCATTTGGAGTCGGATGGGGTGTTGTCGAGCATATCGTCTCCATCGTATATTTCTCTCCCCAAGATTCCGTCTTTTCTCTCTTCTCTTTCCAGTGCTTCGATGCGCTCCACCCACTCCCAAACGATGACACTAGCAGCAGCAGCCCCTACCCAGCGGAAGTAGTCCCCCCATCCGGCAATGGTGTAGTTGGCGATATCGGTAATGAAAAATACGACGGGTGTGAGAATGGCGATGATAGATAGTAGGGAAACGACGCTCATGTTCCACATCATGGAGTGGTAAAAGGCGTATCGTCTCTTGGTGATGGCGTAGTACATAACCCAGGCGGCGTAGAGCATGCTGAGTGATAGTTGGAACAGGTAGCTGAGGGCGGGGATCGCGGTGTCGAAATGTGCGGGGCGGCGTTGGTTCTCATAGGGACCGAAGCTGTTGAGACAGCTGAATGCAATGTCGAGCAGGATGAGAGCGAATCCGACCCACTTGATGATGACCTTCTCTTTGTGGCGCGGGAACAGGCGTATCAGAGTCTGTACTTGTGCAAGCCAGAGGAAGATGTCGGAAACAACGCGCGAAACCTTGATTTCCATGCCAGCTACGACCTGGTCACGCAGCTCCATGGCGTCGATGAAGCCCTCCTCGTACTGGCGTTCGGCGATCTTGAACGTGTCGGCGGTGGCGAGCGTCAGGGAAATGGCGACGGTCAGGGCCGCGGCCTTCTGCAGCCATGGACGGCTTCCGACTCCAATGATGGATCCGCTGCCTGTTGCGCCGCTGATCATGCCGCGTCGTCCCATGAGCCCTGAGCGTCCCGAAGCGTTGCCGACGAAGAAGGTGCGTGGTGTGATGATGAGCATGATGACGAGCATCCAGGCGATGACGGTCGCGGCGCCTGTCGCGTAGGCCTGGGGCGTGATGGAGGCGTGGAAGGGGTCGCGCATGTCGGCGACGCTGGTGATTCCTCCGGTGCCGTCGTCGATGTTGCCCTGTTGGGTGGCCGTGTTGGTGCAGAGCGGGCGGAAGACGGCATTCTGGTCGAGCGTGATGGTGTTGCCGGGCGAAATTTCGATGGTACCGTGGGCAGGCAGCTTGTACGAGGGACAGTGCTGGTAGCGGTCGTCAGTCGCGTGCGTGGAGGGCGTCGCGGTCGTGATACTCACGTAGGGTCGGGTGGCATCGGGCGCGCGACGGTCCAGGAGAGGCGCTCCATGCCGCCAGGACTCGGCCTCCCACATGCTCGGTCGGCGGTTATACTGGTCCAGCAGCAGTTCGTGTCCGGTAGAAGAAGCCCATGGAGATTCAGACGAGCGACATGGCCTGTGTGTGGTGTTGAGGTCGAGGGTGGCCGTCGTGGGTTAAGCGTCAAGGCCAAGTGGGAGGTGTCTGGGCGAAGCTTGAGGGAATGCAGGCGGTCCCGGTGGCACCTGCCGTTCCAGACTGCCACTGCCCGCCGCTGATTGGCGCGTCTTTCGGCCCTTCCAAACAGAAAGTCAGAAACTACCAGTTGCACCGCGGAGCCCCCAGTCACTCCGCAGCCCGAAACGTCGCAGACTGAAGCCAGCAGAGTGGGCCGCGTGTGCAACTCCAGACTGCTTCACGCGCGCTCTGGCCTTTCTCGCCCGTATCGTTCGCGAACACTGTGCAGCCTCCTCAGGGTGAGTCTCGTCCGCGCATGAACCAATCTCGTCGGCGCAGGGTGGCAGGGAGCGCGCAGCCTCGGATCATATCGGGGAGACATGGGGGACCCTCTTTTCGCGACTGGGGAAGCTGGATGCCTTCCCCAGCACTGACAGCAAAATCTAACCACCTTGCAGCTACTGCATCCGCCATATCATCGTGTTCATGCGACGACGAACTGCAGAAAATATAGTTTGACCGTTTCCGGCTCACGCTTCAAACGACAGCTTGGGGCTAAGATTCACTACTGCTACTGCGTCCATCCCAGCCCAGGCCTGAGGCTCACAGATGGCGTGATCTCGGTGACAGCTGCACCATGACTGAAGCCCAGTCCGCACAACAACATTGAAATCCTTAGTTCAACGTCGAATACTTCTCAAAACCGGATTTCGCATCATCGCAGTGCACCAGTGAACACATCATCGCGACCCAGTGGTCTGTATACCAGCCGTTGTAGCCGGGTGTCGTCCGAAAAACACTTCAGAGGCCTACTACGTGCATGCTCTTCGCTTAATTGAAGAGAGCGCATTCAGTTCATTCGACATACGAATCGAGCTCTCTCGATCTGTTCAACCTTGGAAAACATAACCTTAAGAGGCAATCGGGACAAGCTGCTTCGTGCGGATGAACATCCGGGAAAGCTTGAACACGCCCACGTTCTGGCCATGCGCGTCTAGAACCACCAACACAGTTCAGCCTGGTCTGACGCGCTTGATCCTTCCGTGAACACCTCTGCAGCTGTGCGCCAAGGGACACTACATGCTGCCGACTTCCGATTCTGACGCCTGCAGTCAGTGTCGCGCAGCATGGCGAACCTGTGGAACGTGCTGTCAGCCGAACTCTCTTGTCAGCTCTCACCGCTTGCGATAGCTTGGGGCTATGTATACAGCGAACAGGTATTACCAAAAACCATCGTCTCCACGGGTATATGCTGGAGTTCGACAAAAAGATGTTCACATCTCAAGTCGAGCGTATACTTTGAATACCGCATGCGACTGATTTGTATGTCTGCTGACATGTCGGTCCAGATCGCCCTTCCAACACGCGTGCTATTCTATTTTAACTTCCCCTGCAGTATTTTTATGTTTGCTCTCATTACCTTGGGACGGCGTAGCTTTGCTGCGGATTAAAAATATTTATATGTAAGTGTAAATCCAAGACCTTCTAGGTGCATTGAGGTATCGGAACCGGGTAGCGTGGTGTCCTGAAGCTCGTCAAACGAGGGTATCGTCGCCTCTGAGGATATCAAGCGGGTTTGTAGCAGTGGCTTATGAGACGTCTTGTGGAAACCTGGGTACGTAAGTCCGTACGTAAAGGTTAGAACTGTTTGTCGGGCACACTTCATTACCAGACATTCATGTGAAGCCACATTCAATGCAACGAACGCGTTTTCACATAGGAGTATGTGAACCTAGTTGATGTGCTGGGTATAAGTATCCCTCGACATAGCCATCCTTGCATTGCTTCTTTAGAACACGCATTATACTATCGACAGCTACATATACCTTTTAACTTACTCATCACTTCAATCAGTATTCGCCTGGAGCGAACATCAGCATATCAAGCAACCATGTTTCTTCCAGTCACATACAACTACAAAGACACCATTCCAACGTCACATACCTATATTACGCCCAATCTCCCATCGATAACCCCACTTCTTGAAATAGCATCCATCCACGCAAGAAGTGATATATTCAAGTCCTTTAGAACACGATGAAAGACCTAGTATTAGCACCAAAGAGCAAGATCGAGATGAGCACATACCGCAAACAGCTCCAATCCTTGGAAGCACTGTGGGCTGGAAAACCAGAACCCGATTTCAAGAAGAAGCGAGTTCCGCCCCCAAACGAGGGAAAGGGCCTGTATGACCCCGTGTTGGCACCAAAGAGCAAAATCGAGATGAAGAACTATCGCCAACAGGTCAAAGCCTTGGAAGCTCTGCGTGCCGGAGAGCCAGAACCCAAATTCAAGAAAAAAGTGGGTTGAGCCCCCAGATGACGGAAAGGGCCTACCACCTGCAGTTGTAAGAAAGGGTACTGTGGTGCAGAGACAAAATTCTTATTGGGGGAACGGCTGGGACGACCAGATAAAAGCTGAGCGTATTGAACGTAAAGAGGCACAGGCACAAAAGAACCTCAAAGCCATCAACAGCGCTCGATCTAGAGCGGAGAAGAAGAGGAATGACCACGCGAACACTGTTCGAGCTAGGGGCATGCCACAAACCTATTTCAGGAAGAGTATGCCAGCGGCTGCGAAAATGATAGACATGTGCGATTCCGAACCACGTGGGGGGCCGAAAATCACGACTAGAGCGCAGAGAAGTAAGATTCCTATACCGCTATTGGCTGATGTACCGGCTCGTAGACCAAGCCTTCGCGGGAAGTCGAAGGCCGACAAGACCGCGCATAAAAGCCCGCCGCAGCTAGAAGCAGAGCCAGAAATACTCAAAGGGAAGGCACTGTACAACAAATTGACGACCCCCTCGGCCCAAACCCCGACTCGTAGAATGAGTTTCAACGCGTACGGTCAATCAGCAATTAACAAAAGGGGCATTTTAGTTCCAACTTATTATGTTCCAACAGACGAGGAGAAGGAAGCAGCGGAGAAAGCAGCGAGGGTGAAGGTTTTACAAGCCGCTGAGAGAGAGCATGATGCTATGCTGAGAAAGCTTGAAGAATCTTTCGAAGACCAGGACAAAAGACTCGAAGCGAGGCGCAAGAGAGAAAATATCGATGACCGGATCGAATTACGATCAGAAGAAAGTCTGCGTCAAAGGCGTGATGTAGAGTTTCTGAAGAAGAGACCAGTTGGACTGTTCAGAGCACTCTACTAGACTGCAGCTAGGCATGATTAGCAGGATTTCAAGGAGGATTGGATCCAGATGAGATGAAGTAAGCAGGCTGAGCTAGACAAAGAGGAGTTATACATGTATTGAATGGGGCGCTTTCGACGGGAATCCAAACCTGACTGTTGATTGGCGAGTGCGGTGACATTGACCAGTTCCAAGGTTACGACACTTCTGCTCAGCGCTAAGATCAGTGGGACATGCGTGGAATCGAACTAATTAGAATAATGTCTTAGCGAAGAAATCTCAGGGCAAAGGCGTTTCGTAAGGTTGTTGGATGTTGTTTAACGAATGTTTGTGTTGCAGGTTCGTTCTATGCAGTTGACGGTAGACGCATGACGCTAGCGCACGTGCTCGCGCGCCTGCCTGAATCGCCAGGCCCTTGCAGATGCGCACTCTTTCTGTCGCCCCACCGTCATCGAAAAGAAGACGCATTGTTGCCGTCTTAGAGCATTCTCTACAAACTTTTGGGTACTATAATAGTCGCGCATTTCTCCCCGGAGTTTTGCGACACTCGCACATCTACAGCGACGTTTCCGCAACGCGATCGTCCGACGCGACGGCGCTGCGCAAGATAGAATCTGGGGCGACACATCAGTGAGAGACGTTCAGAGTGAAGCAGACTCCAAGACTGGACACGCCAAGATGGCACCCAAGAAGGCGCGCGATCGCAAACGGCAGACCAAAATCAACTTTTCACCTGCCTCCCAATCCTCACCTGCGACTAAATCGACTACCGCCACGACCATGGGAACCTCGCCGTCGCGGCCGAACCTCACGGCTACGACACGGACAAGACGAGCGCCTAGCAGAGTTTCCAACAAGAGCAACAACAACAAGCATGATAATTCGAGCGATGACGAGTTAGTAGTGGAAACAAACAAGGCGATGCGGTTGGGAATGCTAGACGGGGGCACAGCGCGTGGCATGTTTGACGGATCCAACAATGGCTCTGCCAGCTCAAATACGTCGGGAGAGGAGGACGAAGTACAAGTGGAGCAACCGAAGTCGCGAAAGCGGAGACGAGCACCGACGCCCAGCGAATCTGAAGACGAGGAACCGACAGTCACAGTCATCCCGCGCAAACGACAACGCCGTGTTATCGAGATCGGATCTGATACATCGGAGAAACCGAAGAGCAAGAAGAAAGAAGAGAAAAAGAAGAAGTCCTCGAAGCTCAGCAAACGGCGAGAAAGGAAGGAGAGTACACCAGAGGAGGAAGAGTCACAGTCTGCACCTCGCAGCAGCCGAAGAAAGACTGCGAAGAAGGCCTCGACACCAGACGAAGATGACGAAGAGGACGAACCTCTCACGCCGGTACCGAGCTCGAGGCGGAAGCCTGCTCGCAGGCGTTCTCCGTCCATTGAGGAAGAAGAGGAGCAGAGTCCACCTCGAAGCACGAGGCGCAGACTGAAAAGACGAAAGTCACTTTCAGAAGACGAGGAAGAGCCGTCAGCCACGCCCCAACTTACAAATCGTGGGGATTCTGCGTCAGACGATGAGGAACAGGAAGAGGGCGAGGGAGGCGCAAACGAGGACGAGGACGACGAGGAGCAAGACGAATTGAAAGAGGAACTTGCGTTTCTGCGATCGTCTCCATTACCAGATCGCGGCAGACTGAGAAGCACGCAAGGCAAGCCCAAAAACAAACGCCAGGAAGCTCTAGAGGCATTGAAAAGGCGACGTGCTGGTACCAATGAACCGCCCTCTTCTGCGACACCTGGGCGCAAAAGAGCGTTTGTGGTGGAAACGGACTCCGAGTCTGAACTCGAGGTTATCAAGGAAGAGCCGGACAGCGATCTTGAGATCCTGGACCAGGATGACATCGAAGACGACGAGCAAGAGTCAGACCGCGATGCCAACGCCCTTGACATGTTCCAAGAAGACCAAGAAGATGAGCATTTCATCGACGACGATCCGGACAATGTGATCGGAGAACCGTCTGTCAATGACGATCTCGATGAAATGCGTCTAGCGTTCAGTCTGTCGCGCGCGAAAACACGGGATCTGTTCAAGCACGCTGTCGAGTGGATGGTCATGAAGAAGATCCATCCAGCTTTCGATGCGGAGAAGAACGTCTACGTGCTGACTTTCCGCAAGCTGGACGATGAGGTGAAGGGCCTCGCAGGGTCCAAATACACCTCCTCAGCCTGGACAGCAGACTTTACCAGAGCCATTCGCGCAAGACCGTTGCTCTTAATGAACGAACTCAGCGCTGCCGAAAGGGCCGTAATGTCACCACATTGCGAAGCATGCAACCGAACCAACCACACAGCTAGCTTCGAGGTCCTCTTCCAAGGCCAGCCCTACCACCCGGAGACACTGGAACCTCTCGCCAATGCCTCAGACGACAGCGATAGCGACAGTGACTCGGCCTTATCTGCCGACTCTGAAACCCACCTCAACGGCGAAAAGCCAACTTTCAACTACCAAGGAGATCGGATACCTCCCGAATCCCACCGCTTCCCACTCGGCTCAACATGCAAAGCTAATGCTCAAGTTGCGCATACACTGTATCACTGGCGCTACAATCTCTACCAATGGGTCAAAGACTACCTCAAGGATGAGGGACATCTGACCGCGGAGAAGCTGGTCAAACGAGATGGACGAAGTGATCGCAAGAGGGAGAAGGAGGCACGAAAGATCGTGGATACTATGGAGGAGAACGGGCGCATCAAGCATCTTTACCACTCGTACAAGGATCAGCTTAGGGCAGCGGTGGAGGCAGATAATGACTATGCGAATGGATGGGGTAGGAGGGGCTGATGATTTGTGCGCCTGCTTCTATGGACAGAGCGGTACTGGTAGCTGGATTACTGTTATTGAGGAAGGAGCTGGCTTGTATATCAGCACATCATCTCAATCGATAACGAGCGTGGTCGTTGAGTTGACGATGAAGAGAATTCCAACGTATCAATTCGTAAGTTTTGGGTATCATATGCTTCGTGACTTTTGTGTTCGAACCCTTCTTTCTTGCCTATTCCAGCTCAAAGCATTTCCTCTTCCTCCACAGGCGCCGGAACGCTCTGCGCAATCTCAACATCCACCTCCTTGCCGTCGCCCTTGACCTCGCCATCTTTCACCTCAGCACTTTCCTCGGCCGCCACCTCTTCCTCGTCCATATCCTCATCACTGACCCACTCCCTCTCCTTCCTCTTCTCTTCCGCCTCCAACTGCTCAAGCGCAACCTGCTTCTTCGTCTTCTTCGTGCCATCGCCATTGACATCCTCCCATCCCTTGGCCCTATCCTTGATCTTCTGTTCTTTGCCTACACTCTTCATCCGCTTCTTCTCGAGCTTCTCCATGTTTTCCTCGGCACGTTCGAGACCCTTCTCGTAGCGTAACCGTTGGGCGCGGGTCATTTTCGTGCCTTTTTTCTGCTTCTTCTGGATGCCGGCATCTTTTGCGGCGAGGGCGTGGGTGTTTACTTTGGAGGGCCGCGATGGCGAGGCAGAGTCGCGGGTTGTATGGGCGGGTTTTTGGGCGGCTTTGTCGAGGTTGAGGGAGGGGGAGACGGCGCGACGGGCGGTGCGGGAGTGAATGCTCACCGCTGCGTGGTTGTTAGGAGTTATTACTTGAGGAAGATGTATTCATGGAACATACGGCGCTTCTTGACCTTTGCTGTCTTGGCCATTGTGTTGGTTTCTGGCTGTCGCTACAAAGTTCCGGTGGTATGGAGAGATTGAGCAAGGACGCGCGACTTAGTATGCTAATCGCAGTACGTGGTATACTCTCTAGTGAAATCTCGTGTGCAGTCGAAAGAAGTCTCAAATGGACCCAAAATCGCCAAAAGTCCCCACTGGCTCGTGAACGCGAACCCAAAATTCCGGATCCACTTGAGCCGCTAGCGCGCTCCCGCACCTTCCCCGACGACCCTTCAGAATCGCAAGCCTCGCCCTTGCCCGCGATATTCACGCCGTTCCGCCACCACCGCCGCCCGTCTCGCCCCGACTGTCGCACCCAGTCTCTCTCCCATGTCGCAGACAAACACACCGCCGCGTTTGCTCTGTCTGACTACATCCATGCGCTGGCCCGAAGGTTGAAAGACCCACCATTTGCGCCTGCAAGCGTTACCCATTCTCCTAGTTCAAAAGCCTTTCGCTACCGCCGCTCCCACAGCCTGCCTGTAGCAGCCTAGCGTTTCAAATTTATTCCTACCTTGCACCCAGCTATGAGCTACGCAGAGTACCCCGAATTCGAGGCCTATCAACAACGCTGGAACACAACCCAGTCGCATACCACCATCACGTCCGCTCTGCTAGGCGCTATCATCGGCCTATACGTCCTCTTCAAAGCCTTGGACATACTCGGAATTCCCGTCTGGGATTTTATACAGCGTTTTCTCGAGATGGCGACCGACGTCCTGCGTATGCGCAGCGCCTCCTTCAGCTCAACAACCTCCAACACCAGCGACAACGACACCACACAACAGGGCGGCATGTTCGGGAGCCTCTTTGGCATGAGTCCGGGAAATCTACTACAGAAAGGGGTACGAGGTGTCGCAAATGCCTTCTCGCATGGCCCCAGCGACGTGCCGCCAGGCCTGGGCAATATCAGCAACTCTTGTTACCAGAACAGCGTTATCCAAGGCCTCGCCTCCCTCCCATCGCTACGCGACCACCTTTCCAAGACGACCTCCGCACACCCCGCGCTTACCTCCGAGAGCACAAATGGCGCGCTATTCGACATCATCACTAAGCTTAACGACCCTGCGAATACGGGTCAGCATTTCTGGATACGTGGCAAGTTGAAGTCGATGAGCACTTTCGAGCAGCAGGACGCGCAAGAATATTATAGCAAGATATTGGATGCGCTCGACGAGGAGGTCAAGAAGACTGCGAGCAGTAAGAGGCGATCGTCTGTCTCGTGGCTTGAAGTTACAAAGAGCCTCAGTGACTCTAAGGACCTGGATGAGAAAGCGGAAGACGGGTCGGACAAGAAAGAGACATCGCCTCAGATTCCATCGAACCCGCTCGAGGGACGTCTTG